GTCCCACGGCGCCCTGGTGGCGCAGTGGTCAAGCACTCAGGGGCAGCGGTTTGACCCCAGCAGCTGCTCTGCGGGAGAGACCTGTCTGCGTCTGTCACGGCAACGGCCTGGGCAATGCTGTGGCGCTCCCTGTCCTACCGGTCACTGTGCATGAGGACCGGCTTGGTGGCAACGCATTTGGGGTTTAGTTTGTCCGTGACCTGCTGCTGTTGGAAAGTGCTGAGCCAATTCTGACAGCAAGCCCCGGAGAGAGCAGACATCCCTGGAGTTTCCCCTCCTCTCTACAGGCCCCTCCTCCGCCAGGTTCCATTTGTGTTGTTCTCCTCACTGACTGCATCAATAAAAAGCGTAGGGAGTTAAGGAGCCATCTCTTCATTTTAAAATAAACCACCTGGGAAAATGATGCTTTATTTAATAAACACATAGGAAATTACAGCTTGAAAACTCTAAATACAGTACATACACTATACTTTGATCTTAAATTACATGGTCAAAACCCAGCTTCAAAATCTTTCTAAAATCAATCATATGCAAAATACCTGGTTTCTGAAGGGGCATGTGGATAGCTATATACAATTTGCTAACCTGTGATATGGCTTATTTTCAGAAGCAAAGCTTTCCAAATATACAGTTATCTCCCAGATGCAAGGCTGACAAATGAGCAGTGTGGTTTTCATTTAGTTATTTCAGAATATATATTTTAATTACACTGCTTAAAGTGACACTGTCAGAGATTTAACTGGAAGTCTCCATGAATGCTTTCAATCTTACAAAAAAATCAGAAAATATTTGTTGGCTTTCTGATAGAAGGGCACATTAAACACTTGGTGAGCAAACTGTCAACGGCTGACCGGCCTGAGTGCACACAGGCTCAATACTGAGGAACCCCCACCCAATTTCTTCTTTCCCCATTTCAATGCACCTACCGACATCACAGATGACTTGGTCTGGGGTTTGTCAAACAAATCTGAAGTTCTGGCCAACAAGTTTACATGCCAGATGTAGAGCTGGGGCTTGCCAATGGCATTCTGGTCGAAGAAATACTAAGCTTAATGTAGGACTATTTAGAGATCAGACTTGCCTCCTCTCAACACGGCTGGGAGCAAGGTGTGTCTATGTATTTGTAACTAATACCAACTGGCTTCTCAGCTAAGCTTGATTCGAAGATGAAGGTCACTCATGAACTAGTCGTATTCATAGGCACCCATTCTCTAACTTTATACAGATGACAAGGTAGTGTCAACAGCAACATTGCCTCAAACCTAATTCCAAATGGGCTCAACTTGCTAACTGCGCTTTTTTCAGAACAGAATGATGGTTTCTTCTGCAGTTACGGGCCTGGTGGATTCAACACAGACTTCATCTCAGTCGCAATGATCTACCTACTTTTCTTGCGCTTACTCCCGGAAGTTCAGTGCGCAGGGAACTCTGGGTGAGAAACCATCTGTTTGCTTGAAATCCACCCCTCCATCTGAAAACAAATTTTTAAGTGGTGCCTACTCTGACTTTACTTGGCCCAAAATAAAATGAAATATGTCAATAAATTTTAAAAAATGAAATGAAAGGAGCTCATGCACTTGCTCTTGCACATGTCTATGCTGGGGACATTCTATGCCAGTCAAATACACCGTTGAACACCTGGGTGTAAGAGGCACAACAGTGAGACTTCAAAGCAGGAAACTTAGCTGAAAACAGTAAAATAAGGAATCCAATGATCTGGCAAATAGTATGGAAGGGGTGTTGGGAAAACCTGTGTTGACATTATACAAGGCATGGAAAATGGAAAACGAAGGAAGTACAATAGCTTTTAGTTCTGGATTTCTGGATCTCAACCACATCCTCATTACACAGCTATGGCAGCAGCGTCAACAATGAAACCATAAATCTCACCCTCAAATAAATCAAAATGCTGCACTCGACCAGAGCTGTGAGACACAGGTATACAGACAAGTAACTGTTTACAAATGGCATTAAAAGATAGGCAGTGGCGGGTTAGTTACCTCCTTACGAACAATTCTTCCTGTGTCCTATAAGGTAACTCAATGGCAATGAAGTTTGAGATCAATCCTTAACATCTTTTAGGTACTAGTTTTGTTTTTTAATCTTAGGTTTACTTCTAATGAGGTATTTGGTAGAAAGAGAAAATGTTTCCTATTTTTATTTACATTTTAAAAATTATTAGCTGGGATTTAACAGATACATCGTTTTTCATTTACATTTTAAGGTTTATCAGGTGGCCTATCTAGGATTTGAACTCATACCTTGCTTGGAATGCAATTATACTACTCTGATTCTCTGAGGAGTCAAATAACCACATAAATACTTGGTATAAAAAGCTGTGCTTGTTGAAAATGTCCTCTTAATACACATAATCTCAAAACCAAGACTTGCAAAATGAAATATGAGGAGTCACAGATGTCTCTTTAACAAAACTGTTCCAAGTTCAGTTGCCTCCAGTTTGAAAACTCTTATGCTTGGTCTGCCTACAACACAGATTTAATAGCATCTTTTTCCCCAAATCCAAACCAAAGCCTGCTGTCACGGAGTCAATCCTGAATCACAGTAGCCCTATATGCCAGTGCTTTAAGAAACACACTTAAGATTAAAAAACAAACAAACACACCTTGAAATGTTTTTGCCCTAGAAGTAATAGCTCCCCTAAGTCATTTGGGCACTTGTTACAGTGTGATCAGAAGAATCGTTTTTTAGTACTGCGGGCTTGCACGAAGAGCCCGAGCCCTCATCAAAATGCAGACCTTCTCCAGAGGAAGGTAGTGAGCCTCCACGTGCGAGTGGGCACTAAAACTCGAGCTTTACCTAGAGGGGCACACACAGCTTCACCAGGAGAGGGCAGAAACTGAGGGACAAAGAATGTATAAAGTAAGGCAGTTCTTAAAGGTGCAAAGGAATATTACTGACATTTTATAGGTTTTTGCTGTTACTAAACATATAATTACAGGAACCAAGGGAAAAAAAAAGGTTTCAGAGACATAAATCTGGAACCCCACACCTTATCCTCACTCCTTTACATTACCATCTGGTAATTGGAGTTTAACTTTTATCATTCAGAATACTATTGAAACTATTTCCTAAATAATTTAGTGAAAGTGACACTATGTAAGGATTGGGTTCTGATAAGATTACAAATAAAAAATATTAACTTGGAGATTCACAGCCCTGGAGCGCCTGAGAAAGTGTCCTAAGGCGCTGCCTGTGACTCAACATGAAGACTTGTGAGAGAAACCACTGCTGAAACCCTTGGGACACAGGCTTATTCCACTCTCTGGGCATTACCAGCACTTTCTCAAGTCTATCAAGAAATAATTTCTGTAAAAAGAGCAGCAAATTCCACCAGTTGGGTGTTCAGATTACACAATTTTAAAATGCCATTTCCCAGCATTTACAATGTTTAAAATGGGCTTTGAAAAGGATCTTTAAATGCAAATACGGAGTTCTTGAAGTTTCCTTTCAGACTGTGCACTGTCATAATTAACGAAGCAGGGTCTCGGATTGTCTTCTGTGAGGTATCGGCAGAATCACGTTGCACTCTGTAAACGCGTGCGGAAACACGGTCATCTGCAGATGGCGGTGAAGTGGCATTTCCCCGTCGGCAGAGGAGCAGCGCTGGCAGCTGGAGTGACTGTGGTGAGAGGCCACGTGCTGATCTGGAGACAGTTCTCAGGGAGCCCCTTTCTCATCTAGGTTTGCATTTATTGCTCCCCAGTCTGTGACTGACTGCAGGATAAATAAGGCGCTTGTCTCCAAAGCACAAAACACTAGGAACTCAAACTCTGACAATTTGCACAAGTTCTGACCACTTCTTGTCTGAAACTCTCGAGCTGAATAGTACACTTATACATGCCAAATGTGGTTGATAATAAATGTTTTGCTTTGGACTGTACTTCCTCCCATCTAGATGAACTCCCAGGACCTGCAATGTTAAAAAGAACAGATTCTTATTACTCATTGTAGATAGCTAAATATTAGGGAATACACACACAGGAAAAAGAATATTAATTTACTGTGAACAGATTTCATTAGCATATCTATCCTTTCTAAACTGTTCTGTTAGAAAGTATGTCACTTTATTTTTAACTTTTTATAATGTCTTTTCATTATTCCAATTTCTCAGGTTACTCTCTAGAGAATAAAAACAAAAAACTCCACACTCACTGCGATCAAGTCAATGCTGATTCACAGACCCCCTGTGTGTTTCGAAGACTGAAAGTATTTACAGAGTAGAAAGCCCAGTCCTTGTCCCACAGAACTGCTGGTGGTTTTGAACTGCTGACCATGCAGATTGTAGCCCAACACACAACCAATGCACTGCCAGGACTCACAGAGAAAAGAATACTAGATATGTTATAAAGATGTCCATTAAAAGGCTTCTGCCTGAATGCTGAAGGTGGACTTTGGGGCCAGGGTGTGGCGCCCCAATACACTGGACTGGAAAACACTCCTAAAGGCCAACAAACAATCCTTGAACTATCTACAAGCCTTTCTTGTGTTTTGTTTTAATTTTTGTCATTGGTTTGTTGTTGTTATTTTGTTGTATGTTGTTGTTTGGTTTTGCTGTCTTGTTTTTGTGCATGTTATTATCTCCACAGGTCTGTCTAAATAAGATAGGCTGGATGAACAATCCGGAGGAGAAAACAATGGGACTGACAGTTGCAGGGGCACATGAGACAGGGGGAGGTGGGGGGAAAGGAACTGATGTTAACAAACCCAGGGAGAAGGGTACAACAAGTGATCCAAATTGGTGGTGAGGTGGGTGTGGGAGGCCTGGTAGGGCA